TACACACACACACACACACACACACACACACACACACACACACGTACACACACGCGCACACACAAATACACAAAGTATAGAATCACTAGATGTATTGAAAACCAATTACATATAGCTGAAGAGACAGTGAATTTGTAAGATAAATCTGAATAAACTACCTAAAAGCTTCACAGAGGGATAAAAAGATGGAACATGAATAGGGAGGCAAGGAGAATTGTAGAAAGCTGAAATTCAATATATACCTAGTAGAATTTATAGAAGGAATAGTGGAGAGAATTAGGAGGTGTAGACAATATAGAATTTTTAGAACTGAAGAAATACATGAATCTTCATATTCAAAAAGTACAAGTCTGTATCGTGAAATATTAGATATAAATAAAGTAATATCTAGACACGTTGTAATAAAATTTCAGAGTACGAAAAACAAAGGAAAGAGCTTAAGAGCAGTCAAGGAGAAAAGATACAACCTACATAGAAATGAAATTATACTGGTAGCAGACTTCAAAATAGCAATACAATCAAGGAGATGAGATATTTTCGAAGTGCTGAGATAAGATAACCAAGTCAAAGTGGACTAAACATACAAGAGCAAGAGTAAGAATGAAACAAAGTTACTAAATTTGATACCTCATGTATAAGAAAACAGAATCCATTTTTTAAAAAAGAATATCAGAAAGAAATAGGAAGCAAAGAAATTGGAAACATATTTAAAGCTAAACTAATAATTATAAAAATAATGAAGGTGACAATGACTATGAAGGTGATTAATTTGACAGTGTGTAAAATGTGAGACAATAAATGTAAATAGAGGAAATGCATTGGTAAATTTAGGGATTATTATCATGAATAAAAGAATAAAACCCAATATATGCTTTTTATAATAAATGCAAATCATAACACAGGGTACAATTTAAATACCAAAAAAGGCTAGGCTAGCTGGACCTATAAAGAACAGAGTGAATCTTGAGGTATTTCAGTCTCTTTAGTCAGACTTGTCATGTTTGTTTAGTCTATTTTTTTTCCCACGAACTTAAAGATTTAAATAGAATAAAATTTCAGTCATTTGGGTAAATGTGCCAGAAGAAATGACATAATTTGTGATAGAAGGTAAGTATAACTTACAGTCGATACCATGGGAAACCCTTAGACTCAGATGTCATAATATCAAGTTCTACCTGGACTCTGAACGACTTTGGGCAGGTGTATTACCTCACCAAACATCAGTTTCACATCTAAAATGAAGCCAGTCATTCTTACCCTTCTTGCTGATAAGGAAGAACAAAAGAAATGATGACTGTGCAAGCATTTGTAACTTCTAAGGGCTACAATCATATTATATGCTGTTATTCAAATATGTCAAATAGCGTATATGTATGCAACATATTTTCCATATGCAAATCAAAAGTTAATAATACAACTCACATAGCACCCCATGAGTTTTTTAAATGGATTGAAACATCATCTCCACTAAAATTTCTCATAGGAAGGCAGTGTAGGTATTAGAAGGTATACATACTTGTGGAATAAGTTTAATCAAAGTTTGATCCCAGCTTATTTGCTATGTGATCAAGTGACTTCATCTCTCTGAGAACCATTAAAAGTTCCCAGTTGCCCATTGTTTAAGAAATAGAGATAATGTCATGTGTGCCACATACAGATCCATCGTAGGCAGACAGTAAATGGTCCTAATTATATTCTAGCAAATAAACATATTGTGTGCCTTTGAGACCCACACAGTTTTATTGTGAGGTTTTCTTTAGCTTTTTGAAAGTGCATGTCTTTGATACGTGATCATTCCATAAGAAAAGTATTTCTATATAATCAAAGCATCTGTTACTAAGAACACTGCGTCCTCCAAATGCAATAAAAGATTGTGTCTTTCATTCAGAGTTTTCATCACTTAAGGAAAAAAATAAACTGACTTTACATTAAATTTCCATCTAAAAAGTAAGTGCAGAATATTTTTAAGCAATTAACTATTTAAACTGATTTTACTTAACTCACATGGAAAATGTCTGATATTACAGATCAAATATGGAATACTCTGAATTAGTGAGACTTTTCTGTACTAAGAAATGAGTTAAAGCATTTGACAACAGTAGTAACACCTACCACCTTCTCACTTTTCAAATTGTGCTTAATTAATGCAGCTCCTTGAGTTCTTAATAATCAAAAATCCATTTCCCTAAATTAGTTACCGAGAACAGAGGATAGTATTGTAACTCACAGTTTTAATAGACTTGCTAATAATAATAGTAATAACTGTGCCTGTCAGCTGGCTAAGAGAGTAATAGGTAAAAGAAAGAGTGACTGTACACTAATAAATGCCCTGTGAACACGGGCAGGGATGCAGGCAGAGTGCACTGGCTGTTAGATGGAAAGCAGCATACGTCACTCCCCTTCCATTGGCTGTTGATCCAACATCAGTACAACACTTCAGGAGCCAAATTACTAAACAAGCTGCCAATTAGGCTTGCAGTCAGCTGGATAGATTAGTGGCTAAGAGGGGCCGATACAAGATTTTCATCTCTTGAGCCAATTACACAAGTGAATTACCCTCCACAGTACTCTTTGGAAGGTTTGAGAGGAAAGGCCCAACTCAGCTGTAATAGATGTAAGAGAACTAGCAGACAGGCCGGGAGCTGGAGCATGAACGAGAAGGGTTAGCAGGCTATGTTTTGCTATAATTGTCCGAACCTTCTAGGGAAGGACTTAAAGGATTTAGCACTGCCAGGAGCAAAAGAAAAGGAAATTATGCTTGTGGTATATACTGTGCTGAGGCTGATTTATTCCACTCCTAGGTCTTAATCTCATAAAACAAGGATAAGAGACCAACAGGGGATCACTCTCTAGAACCAGTTTCCATGAAAAATGGACCAACAGTTCTTTTTTATTTTTTTTTTCCTTCTTGTTTTAGGTTGTGTTTCTATATGGAAAGACTCAGTACTTAAGAATTAAATGTCATTTTTTTTCTTCCAAATAAAAGATACTGGTTTATATTACTTTATTGTTATGAAGACAAGAACTTATACTAGCATTTTTAAAAAATGAGAGAAAATGAGTTATCTTCCACCCTTATAAAAACACAAGCTTTGGAATAGAGTGGCCACTCTGGGCCTCCCTGCTTAAATACCAACATTTTAAAGTCATGGTAATAACACAGTTGTCCTTTACTCTTCACATTAGGACAAAAACTGACCATCATTTGCCACTTTCTGTAGAGATATTTTGAATTGGCCTGGTATTTTTTTCTTAAACATTAAAAATTTTTAGTTAAGATAACTTCTGCAAGCTGTTGTACCAAAAATATGTGTAAATAGATGTGTAGCCTAGAGCAGCATTACACCTCTGACTAGATTTTAGCTTATGAACAGAAAATAAGTCATGGCAATCAGTAAAAACTTCGGGATATGAGACAAAATGCTAGTGCACTTTTTATCCTGGCATACCTCTGAAAAAATTTGTAAACTTTGGAGGTCTGGGAGGTCATCATAATTACAATGTCAAAATAAAAGCTTAATTAATTTTTTTGTTAGATTTAGTTAAGATTTTTTTTGCCAAAGTCTCGATAAGTCCAAAGCCAACTGATTACTTAGGTAACCTAGTTCTTACTCCCTGGAATGAATTTAGCAAATTACAAGGGTTATTATTGTCATTATTCTCAGTTCTAAAAATACACTGAAAATTGGGACTACCAATATGTTTAATAAAGGACCTTGAGAATCAACTGATGATTACTCCATAGCAAATAAAAAAAGGTTTAGTTATTAACACTAATCTTTAGAATCACCGGCAGCAACCCACTTGCTGTTCCTCAGAATCCCATATATAAAGCCACAGAGAAGACATGCTATTGGTTCAACACAGACACTTCTTTTTACTCTAAAATAAATATACCAAAGAATACATGAAAATACATATGTACAACTTAAAGAACTGTAATCTCTGTGTAACCACCCAGGCCAAGTAATATTTTTGTTACTGTTATTGATGCTTAAGGATTCTGCTGTGCCTTGGATTGCCATCCTGGACAGAGTTCTCCTACAGAGAAGTAGGACAGAGAGTACCAGCATCTATTTATTTATTTATTTATTTATTTATTTATTTATTTATTTATTTGCAGGTAGGTTAAGGAAGAAGTTTCAGTGATAATCTGAGTCTTAGAGAAAAATATTGATGATGAGAAAGGACAGGGACATTGATGCTAAAGAGTTGTCTGACTCACGAGCCTTCAGTTGTAGTGAGCAGCCCGTTTCAGTCTATATCTAGGAAGACACAGGCAACATTTCAGAACAGGAATAGGTTAAATCTAGGGCTGACCTTGTCCACCTAAAAATCCTACACACATCTTCAACATTATTTTCCTTTATTTTTCCCTCCTTTACCTGCTTCTATAGTCATTAAGACATAGCCCTATAAAGAGAAGGAGGAAGGAATAGAAGGATGTGATGGACTGAGTAATAAATAACAAAAAAAGGATTATATATATGTAAATTCCCAGGAATTCAGAATGAAATCATTTGTGCTTTTTGTTTGGCTTAGTTTGATTTTAGTTTTAGTTTTGTCAAGGGCCTGGCCAAATATAAGATGATATTATGGCATAAGTTGGCAGTTTTCACAATGATCCTTGCAGCTCACACAGTAATGAAAATAAATTCATTTGTAGAGTCCTTCATGGTTTACAGAGAGCTTTCTTTACATACATGATCCCATTTGATCCTACAATTTTTGTAAGACAGTGAATGCTGCATTTATGCTCTTTTACAAATGAACAAACAAAAGCCCAAAAAGGTAAATGGCCTACCTATCCTGCTACTAAGTAGTAGAGATGAAATTCTAAGCAAGGTCTGTTTTCCACTGTTCCCTCTCTATAATAAGTACCCAAAGATAAACAAACAACCTCTCTGGGACCTTGATAAGAATAAATTCAGATGTTTTTGGAGCGTAAGACCATCTTCTTGTGTGTCCATACTGACACATTTGTTGTGTTCTCATTTTAGGATTCGTAGGTGAAAACGCCCAGCCCATCCTAGAGAACAACATTGGCAGCCGAATGCTTCAGAACATGGGCTGGACGCCTGGGTCCGGCCTTGGCCGAGATGGCAAGGGGATCGCTGAGCCAATTCAAGCCATGCAGAGGCCAAAAGGATTAGGACTTGGATTTCCTCTACCAAAAAGCACTCCCACAACTACCACACCCAATTCAGGAAAATCCGCCTAAGAAGGAAAGCAAAGAAGAAACGTTTTATAATTTTTGTCACCCCATTATTCTGAAGTTACGTTAAATTTCCAGTTTTGAAGCAGAAATCTACTTTGCCTCAAACTTGTCACTGTAACTTCCTAACTGCATATAGTCCTGCCACAGTGATAGAAATGGGATTTCATCACAGTTCATGGTGCTAAAGTATAAATGTCTACCCTTTAAGTTTCTCAATAATATCCAGCTATTTCTAGCTAGAAAGAACAGTTCCTTGCTCTTATTTATTTAGAAGTAGATGCTTTCTCATGCTTTGCTTATTTCATCTATGTGTGTGATGCCCAGGCAAATGTGACCACACCCACTGGTTTCTAAAGCAGGATAGGCCAGACAGGATCACTTTCCTATCATGCCTATATTAGGTAGTTTGGGTTACAACATAGTGTAACCCTGAAGATCTGTCATCCCATCGACAATATCCTAAGCAAGTCTGAAAGTCTTGGCAATTTCATATTCCTTGACTCTGGCTTTCTTGTGAGATTTTCTAAGACAGTGACGACACCCATTAATTTTCTATCTTTGGACAGTGTCGTATCACCTTCACAATGGACAAGTAGTACTTAATGTTTCCCTCAGATATTTTGACAAAAATAAACCTCATCATTGTTATCACCAGAGTGCCCTCAACATTATTTTAATGCAGATTTTATAAATTTTACCTCATAAAATAATTATTGAAAGAAAAATGTATTTTTTAAATTCACCATGACTGAACTGTAAATTCTATTCATCCATATGTCTACCTCTCTCTTCGCAAAGGCTGATATTTTTTTAAGACCAACTCAAGGTATAGTAAGTTGATTTTAAATTTTAATTAGTGAAGTAAATTATTAGACTATTGAATCAATTTTTTTGAAGATTTAAATGGCTGACAGGAATTGAGATTTCTGACAATGGCCTCCCAATTTACCAGATAAACAAGAGGAGAAGGGAACAAAGCTGCCCTTTCTAAGCTCTGAGCTGTTACTTTAAAACTAAGCAAAACAGTCATTTTATTTTCTTCCCATTATGGAGTTATTTCTGAATCATTTGGCGTGTCACACCAGAGGGTCTAAATTGCTCATAGTTCAAAAGATGCTGATATGTTACCTTTGTCATTAAAAGAACTAATATTATTCTATTTATAATGGCCTGTATTGGTTGAGTAAAGATCAAGATAGCCCATGTGAACCACCTTTCTAGTAGATTCTTAAGATTTCCTAAATTGCCAAAAAAGAATTTTGAAAGGCAGTAGAGAAGGTTTAGGCATGTAACAGACCTTTCTCAGGTAGTCCCCTAAAATATACTGCCAGTTAGGGAGGAGAAATTCAGCCTACCATGTGAAAGCCTTGATGGTTTGCCAAATGCATACATTTCTTTTAGGAATTACCTTCTTTGCTAGGAGTATTGTGGTAAGAGGGCAGAGAGTTAGGAATGACAGACTACCCAACGGTTGCTCTTTTGAATCATTCGTATTAGATAAAGCAGCCCTGTTGTATGATTGATTACCTTCTACAAGGTTGTCACTAGAAATTTGCCACTTTTTAAATGATTTTTTTTTCTAAATGATCATTCTATTTATGTAGATGGGGAAGATGGCAGAGCTTCTATACAGTTTTTAAACTTCTTTGTAATAGTGTATTGTACTAGAGGATCTATTAAAAAATTTTTATTTCGTTTTAATCCTACTGCCTGAAAATCTTCTAAAATCCTAGAGTTTTAAAAATTCCAATTTTGTGCCACTAATAACAAACGATGAGGCCATTGAGAGACTGGCTTCAAGCTCTTGAGGACTTGGCTCTTGTTTTTCACTTTCCATTGTTCTAATGGATGCAAAACCCTCATAGTAAAGATAAGCACAGCTATACCAAACTAGCAGCAGGGACCATTGTAATTCATTATGCAGTCTTTGTGAGTGCTGTCATTGCTGCCATTCTGGACAGTTGAAATTTTTTGAAGCATCTCCTGTAAGTTGTTCACTGAACTTCCCTAACACCCGAAAGATCCATCTTCATATTTTCCACTAATGGAAGAAACGTGATCCCCAGAGCCCTCTATGTGGCTCACAGAAGACTTAAAGTACTTCATGTTCTACTGAAGTATATAACCGTACAGGATATATGAACCAACACACACAGTAGATAAGGCGCAACATCCCAAGCTTCCCTCATTCTCCTATGCAATGCTTTCAGCATTCGGTCCTTAAGAAAGATCAGTGCAGATTTGGTGTTCTACTTGTACCTAAACTTAACTGGAGAAGTAAATACAACTAAGATGTAAAGTTGTTGGTATGAATCAAATGTCTTTTCAGGACATGAAGTCCACCAATTTATATTTTATATATAGTTACAGTTAATTTTGTTACTTGATATGCCCACAGAACCCAAAGCATCAAAGGAGTTCATGATTTAGAATGCATCATTCATATCTCCTTTAAAAAGCTATAAGATATTTCCTCTGCTCACTCGTGAAGCCACTCTTCTATAAATTAATTAGTCATGCTAATTTTTCTCTACGTGCATATGTCTCTTCACTTACTATCCAAACTGTCCGTTCCCCATGGTAGCCAAGAGAGGGTGAGCACTGCTACACTAGCAGTGTGAGGCTGGCTTATATATTTATTGTACTTGATAATGACCATTCTGTGCTACAGTAGAGTAATTTCCTTCCTTTTCCCAAGTACAATTTTTAAGGCTACATTTCCCTCTTTCTTATTTTTTATTTTTAAATTGGTACCTCTTTAAATAAAAGAAAATCCATTGGTAACTAAAATTTTTCAGTGAATTGGTCTCAACCTTTAACACATAGGTTTTATAACTCACTCTGTGGTTATTAGGACAGTAGGATTAAAGATATATGTGTACATATAGGTGTATTTACAGCTTATGTATGTATGCAGCATAGAGATATGGTTACAAATACTGCATTTAATTGCTGTGTTTATTTTAACATTTGAGCTGGTATTCTCATAATTAATTGAAGTAATTGCTTCTCTTTAGTACATTTTATTTTGAACAGACATTTCATGAAAGAGAAAAATCACTGTTAACATGCTTTTTTAAACCATTTTCACCCATATTTGTCTTCCAAGGAAAAAAGTGACCTAAATTAGTACTGTAAAATGAAGATGTTAGCAAAGAATATTTTGGGTTTGTCTTTGTTTCTTTGTTTTGGTTATTAATGGTACAGCAAAAAAAAAAAATTGAAAGAATAAAACACAATGTTCATAATGTTATTTATTAAGTAGTCATTGTCTTTATGCTTAAAATATTTCCCTCTTAACCTTAAAGTGATAAAAGGTAGAGGCGAAAGTATTTTAAAATTTTTTCTAGGGCTGGTGGTTTAGCTCAGTGGGAGAGCTATTTCTTAACATGCATGAGGCCCTGGGTTCAATCCTACAAAAACAAATCTCCAAAAAAGAAAAATACTTACTGTTATTGACAATTAACATTTAATAGTGTAGTTAAATTATTATCTTTAAGCTCTGGAAATTTTCAGTGGTTCAGAAAACTCAGAGAGAAAATAATGAATATATTTGACTCCACAAGTTTATTCTGCCACATTTCCCTGTTTGTTCTTATTTTCCTTGAAACTGGACTAATTGGCTTAAGTTCTCTAACCACTGGAGGATTCTATGATTGTAATGTAAGCAAGTATCACAGTCTCTCTCTGACCACTCTGAAGTAGCAATTGGCATTCCATGTGTTAGTCACTCCATTTCCTTCTAGAAAGTCCAACCTCTCCTGAAGTTGCTTAGACATTTTAAATACTTTGCAATACAGATCAGAGGGCTGAATTTTATTTGCCAAACAGGCATTTCACTATTTATGTTAATTACATTTTATCTTTCCTCCCAAAAAAGTGAAGCTGTTAAAGTAAGTGGATTCGATTTTATCCAACAGGTATTAAATACTCATTTATTTAACAGGCTCACAGTAATATATACTCTACTGACAAGTGGACCGTGAATTCTCCTTCTGCTGGGTTCCTCCTAAGTGAAGACTCGCTACTTTGCATACCTGACATTTTAAGTAGATCCAGATTTGTCTCTAGTGAGTCAGTGCCACTAACTGCCAGAAGGATGATCTACTTGACTCAAGTGGTAGAGCACTTGCCTAGTATCCCTAATCTACCCCAACCAAAAAAAACCTATTATAATAATAATAATAACAGCCCAAACTGTCCTCGATCTTTTTGCATCTTCCTGAAAATTTTCTAAAAAATTCTCATTTCTTCCAAGGCAGCATTCTTTAGTAAAAACAGAATGAGAAATAGTTCACTAACTCTATGCTTTCCAGAAGTAAACAAATTCTTCAAATTCCTATTGAAGTGAATTTTTTCATATGTCAGGATTTCATAACTAGGATGACCAAATGAGTTTAGGAAAAAAGAAAAGTTCTGCTAGATGACCATGGGGCTAATCTGGGATTCTGATGTCCCTCATTTATGGCTGTAATTTATTATTGAGATAATATGGAATCCATGTTGAATGTGAGAGGTATGAAATTCATGAAAATAATTTGGGATGAGTGCGAAATACTTTAGAGTGCACATTAAAGGTGTTGAAATTTAAAATCAGTATTTCTAGTGCAGTTGCTGTGGTGTATTTAGGTCTCAGCAATATAACTACTGTGGTTCCCAATCTATTAGGCTTGACTCTTGACCCTCCCACAGCTTCATACCCCTATCCTTTCATTGTGCCATCTCCAAATCCTTTCCTATTTTTACAGCACATTAGTCTACTTAACATCTTTTAACATCACGGGACAGCCTTTCCAACTGTGGAAAGAACTGCCGAGCACACAGGAAACCAGCCCGTTTTGACTCCCAAGCCATTGTGTTACTCCATTAGGTCCCTTAACAACTCAGCTAGAAACAAGCGTTAGATTTTTTTTCTCCCAGACTCAGTGAGTAATTGTCTGTGCTGCAGTGACAGATGTGCAATGTAGCAGCTTCTTCAGGAAAAAATTAACAGTTTGTCCAGCATGTCAGCTTGCTCTTTTTAGTGCTTGGGAGGTCTTGGCCCCATTATGGATGATTTAGAAATTGAGGCAAGCAAAGACCAGCTGCCTGTGCTGAAAGCCTTCGTTAGTTGGCCTCATCTGCATTCCAAGACTCACTCACATCCAGAAATTGGTGGAGCCCCTCTGGCCACAAGATGAGTATGGGCTGACAATGCCTTGATTTGTTGAGAGAGAATAAATGGGTTTTTCAGAAGATGAGGAAATATCACCATTACTGGCCAATTTACAGCATTTTATCTGTTCTTCAAACATGTCACTTTTGTTATTGTTGCATGGTAATTACATAGTGAGAGGGGAAAAAAACAAATTCTGGTTACATATTCAGATGGATTGCAAAATCATATAATCCTGATAAATGCCCATTTATGATACACATGGATGAAAGGTTCATTTTAATTTTGAATGGCTAGCTCAGCCATAAATAGGATATAGGATTAAATTCCAGAGAATCTGATTACATCAAAGCAAATAGTCTTTACTTTTTCAGATTCAAGGAGAAACAGGATTGCCCTGAGACGATACAAAAACGAATTCAGAATTGCGTCGTCAGAAGATTGAGAAGT